TTTGAATGGCTTCAGGAACATGTGGTTTGTTAGTCCAGCTTTATGGTATGCTGGTCTAACGACATTCGTCAGTGGCCAAGCCATCGGCAGCCATAAGGTTGGCAAAAAAGTGTCTTTGGACCAAAAACACAGCTACAAGAAAAAGACGGTCGTTGGAACAATTATTTATTTATTTCCAGTGGGGAAGGTAGATTTAGATTATACGAAATCCTACCGCCCCTTCCGGAAATAAAAGCCGCGAAATATAACAAGAATCGGCACACACACAGGAGACCGCCTAATAAAACAAAACCACGCGCCCAGGGACACGGGTCGGCCGGTCGGTCCCTGTGAGAACGGTAATGAGCCTTGTGGCAGCTCGGGCGCGCGTCCCCCTGCACCTCCGGGCCGCACCCGGGGCCGGGCCGGGGGGCGGGCCGGGGGGCGGCGCCCCAGACTGCACCGCGTACGTGCCCGCCACGCCGCTCCGCGCCCCGGCCGCCGGGGCTCGCACACGGAACGCGCTCCCGCCCCCCTCGACCAAGATTTGTCATGCCTCATCGCCCTCATCCCGCCATTCATTCAAACACCATTCATTTCCTCTCCCAATTGCAGGTGTGCGCCCCGCCGGCCCTCGCGCCGCGCGTGTGAATGTGGGCCCGCCCCGCCGCTCCGCGTGAAGCCGTCCCGGTGCTGCTCGCCGTGCGGTGTGCTGCCTCGGCTGCCCCCCTCCCGGGCGCCGCCCGGCCCGTCTCCGCTGCTCCATTCATTCGCCCGGTGCGGTACGCGGCCCTCCTTCCGGCTAGTTCCGGCGGCGTTTCTCAGGACGCCGTCCCGAATTCTGCGGTACGCGCAATGGCCCTGGCGCCGCTTCCCCGACGCCGCTCTCGCTCTCCCTCTCTCTATCTAACTCGCTCTCCCTCTCTCTATCTCCCCACTCTCGCTCCTTTTCTGCCACGACGCCGCCCGTTGCGACGCCGCCGCGATGACTCACACTGAGTGCAACGCCTGGGCGAGCCCGTCGCGCCCCGCCCCCTCCCCTCCCCCGCTCTTCCCGGACCCTACCTAACCTCCTCACTAACAACGCTCAGTGACACACGGTCCTTCCCCATCCCAACTCAGCTGATGCGCGTGAGTTGGACGCTCGCCAGCGACAGCCCGCGGTTCACCCCGCACCATACACCTGCTGCCGTGCCGTTGACACAATGGGAAACCCTTGGATTACTGAACACGAATCAACACCCTACTTGATCGCCTGCAGGCGTCCAAGCAGTTCACACCATTTGTATTTGCTTATTTTCGGCTTTCCCTGAAGTCGTTCAGTGCGACACACGGCCTAAGGACACGTTGTAGATTCTCCTCACAAGCTCTTCGCGTTAAAGTCCTCGCCTCTGCCCGTTTTATTAGCATCTCTCTGTCGCTTCCCGGGAAGCGTCATCATCACACACTCGCTCCCGGGAGAGCCACAGGCCGCCACAGGCCACAGGGAGGCGGCGGCGGCTGCTGGAGAGAGCAAGGGGAGGAGAGCGGCCCGGAGTCCGGCCCTTCAGGTTTTGGGATAAGGAAGGTCCTTCCGCGAACTCTCCGCAGGATCACTTTGTGCGGCGCGCGGCTGCCGGCGGCTGCATATTCGATTGTACAAGAGGCTCGCCAACCGCTGGAGTCACCACCGGATTCGTAAGAAAATAAAAACCGAAAGGGTAAATGAAGCCGCTTGCGGCTGCTGCTGCAGCGCCTTGAGGTCGATGATTGACCGCCCTGGCCTGCCCCGTCTCACCGCCTTCTTTTTACGCACCACTTGCTGTGTTCGCAGAAACGCGCTGCGCCGAGTTTGCAAGTCGGCCGGTGACATCGGTCACAGCTTCTTCTCTCCGTCTCTGTCTCTCTTTTTTTTCTGTTTGCCACTTCATTATTTCCCCAACACCGCGAGCGACGCGCTTCATTAGCGGACAATTGTCAGAGCCTTTTTCGAGGATCTTAAAATATTTCATCGCCAGACCAGTGAAGTGGTCGGTGTGTATCGCGGCTCCGGAACTTTGCCTGCCGTTCCGGGCGGCGGCTCCGCTGACTGGAGGAGGCAGCGGAAGCAGGTGGTGTCCCGCGGGTGTTGGGCGCCCACCGGCGGCCCGGGGGCAGCAGCACCGGGCGCTCATCCTCGAGAGCAGGTGATTCACGAGCCGCGGGCCGAGCGCAAGACAACAAACCGAGTGAATCAGAGAGTCTATTTCGCGTGGCCCGCCTGAGCCCTTACGCGCGCCGCGGTCCCCTCATGCCGGCGGTCACGTTCGGCCGGCGATGAGCGCCGCGGTGGGGCCGGCCGGGGCCCGCGGCCCGCGGCCCGCGGCCTGTGAGCTAGCTAGGGCGCGGGACCGCGGGGCCGCAGCAGGCGCCATGGCGGGCGGGCGCCGTGCAGCGGCCCGGAACGTTCCTCGAAATTTGAGGACTAAGACGGCGCTGATTCACCCGGCCATTGATTCACCCGGGCCATTCATTCGTTCATTCATTCGAACGTGCGGGCCAAGGTTCGGAACACTCACTCTCGCCGCGGAATGTTGCGTGCTCTGAGTCACGGGGATAGACCTCTAGACCACGCACACGTATACACCTCTGGACCAGCCGCAGCCTCAGCCGCAGCTGTCCACTCTCACTCGCCGAGTGCAGCGCCCCCCCCCCCAACAACTCACTCTTGATAAGTAATACCTCGTAATGAAAACTCCCCGGCGACGCCCGCGCCCCGCCCCCGCTTCGCGCGTCACCAGATTTATAACGCATCTTTTTCGCCGCTGATCCCTAGGCCGGGCCGGGCCGGCGCCGAGGCTCCCGCGCGCTCAAGCGGCGCGCGCTGCCCATATTTTGCACTCGAAATTTAATTAAAAATGTAAATTGCGGAGGGCGGTGCGCTGTGCTGCGCTGTGCTCTCGCGCTGTGCGACTCCTGCTGCCTGGCGTGTAGTCGGGTAATGAGTGAAGTTGAGCGGGGGCGGCGCCGCGCCTTAACTCTCTGGATTAGGGGATCAGCAGCGCGTCGCCGAGCCTGGCCGGGGCGGGGGCCCTGCCACCTACCCCTCCATGTGCATGAGCAGAGCTTTAAAAATCATCAACTGTTCCACTTCAGGAGGAAATCATGTTGGAGTTGATGTGAAATAACAGTTTAAAATACCGAGAAGAGGGTTTGGTTCCAATAACGCTAATTATTTACAAACACTTCCAGATGGATGATATTCAAGGAATGATTCCAAAGTGTTTTCAATAAATTAAATTCTATCCCGTCGTGACACGCTGGGCCCGTGCAGCATCCTGTGATTAGACGCAGGCGAAGGTAAGACCCCCCCCCCTTCCCTCCTTCCGCCCCAAACTCATCACCAAAGGGGGAATCAGTTCTGCAATAGTGATGGTCCTCCCCCTGCACGAGCCCGAGCCGAGGCTCCGCCGGGGCGCACTGCCCATTACCACATGGAGAGATCGAATCAGGAGATTATCGGGGCTGGCGCCAGGCGGCGGTGTGAAATAAAAAAGAAAGAAAGGGGGAGAAAATGAAAGAAGGGGCAAAGGGGACGAAACCGCACAGGACCGCCGAACTCCCCGACAATTTCAGTGGAAAAAACAAACGTATATGTGTGAGATGCGAGGTGAGGTGTGTTGAGAAACTTTTCGTCCAAATAACTAAGCTGGTTTTCGTAACGACATACTGTGAAGGCACTGGCAACAAGGGCTAGAGCATCGTAGCGTAACATATAAAAGGTAAGTACTTAACACTGTTAAAAATATTTTGTGATTTCGATTCGAGGCAAACTGTGGAATCACAACACTTGTTTGTAGTTTGCTATCTTAATTTAAAAAAGTTGTGAACCAACCGTAATAATTTCTGAAGTTAATGAAGTTTTGACAACGAAGAAGAGTTCTGATTTCAAAAAGAGATCTGGCAACTTTTGTCACAACGAATTCTTCGTGAAGTTCAGACTTTTTTTTTTCAACAGTGAAGCTTAATTGCCTCTAAGATTTTTCATTTCAGCGGCGCATCTTTGCAAAGTGATACCCATCAATTCTCCCAGAAAATAATTGTTTAACTTTTAATGAGGAAAGGTGGGATTTTCAAATTATCTCACCAGGTTTTTTAAACTCTCAAAAATTCAAGAACATTTCCCCATCTTTTAGGTAGCTTCTTTTCGGTGCGTTACTTTTAATTCGTAGTAAAATATCAAATTATTTGCGTACGCCTGGGAGCCGAATAGGAGCGTAGTTTACGGTTACACTTCTTTCAGGAGACGTACATAACCCGAATTGCGACCCAAAAGATTAACTTTAAGGGGGCGGTTCGTATGTAGCCCTCTTTGCAGATATACTGTACCGCCGTGCACGGTGCAAGCGTGTGGGCTGGTTGCCTAACTGCAAGGGTCCACCAGGAGCATCCAGCCTGCGGCTGCACTGCTGGGGTTGAGCATAACTCAAAAAAATAAAATGCGTGAAGCCGCCAGCCTGGTTCAGATAAAAACTCCTGACATGTTTTAATGTACCTCAATGCACTGGCATCTTTTGACATTTTTGTTTTTGAGAACAAACACCGCGCCAATACTTTGTATTGCCTGCTTGTAACAGTCAGCCAGGACGCATTTTGACGGTGATGTTTGGGCTGCTGAGACGTGTGCCGAGGTACCCTGCAATCATTATACAGCCCTTCCCTGAAGACATGGCCCGGCTTTCCGATCGCTTTGAGGGGGAAACCAATTAAAAAACGAGCGAATGGGGCGGCCTTCTCGGAAACAGTTTGCAAGAGGTGCAGGCAGGCGCTGCATCTTGTCAGAGAAAATGATGCACTTGATGCAATGCAGAATAATGTAATGGCGATGCGTCTGACTCGCTCATTGTACCGCATTGTACACATTCAAAACAAAAGTGGCAGACATCCAATTTGCAGCTGAACTTGCTTTGCACCCTCGTTTGCGACAGAATGTGTATTGTAGTGTAAATTTAGTTTTACTTCGGCCCAAAATGACAACTCGGCCTTGTAACTTCCGCACTCACCCGATGGCAGGGCCTCATCTTCCTTTTCCTCCTCCTTGTCGCCGTCCTCCGGGTCGTCGCAGTCCTGAGTGTCACTCGCGGCCCCGTCCCCGGCGCGCGCACTTGCACCTTCACTCCGGGATTCATCTTTTTGTACTGTTGATTGAGATCCTTTCCGCTTGTCTTTCGTCTTGCGCTTTTTATCACAGACTTGATCACAGGTTGCTTTTGCGCTCGGCTTGCCCAGCGCACTCCTGCTCCTAGCAGACGACGCACCCCGCCCCCGCCGACTCCCCGGGTCCGACACACTGTGCACTAGCGTTCGTGAGCGCCCAGGGAGGGCACTTCCGGAGGCGGCCTCGTTTGGTCCTTGGTCACCTTCTGCGCTCGGGCTAGGGCTGGCGAGAGCACTATGCGTTGCACTAGGGCTAGGGCTCGCAAACGTACTATAAGTCGCGTTAGAGCTAGGGCTTGCAAACGCACTATAGGTTGCACTAGGGCTGGGGCTTGCGAACGCACTATGGCCTGCACTGGGACTGGGGCTGGCGAATGCACTTTGAACGGCACTAGGGCTGGGACTGGCGAACGCACTATGAGCAGCAGTAGGGCTGGGACTGGCGAACGCACTATGAACGGCACTAGGGCTATGGCTAGGGAAAACAGTCTCTAGACTTTGTACTGAAGTTCTTCCGGACACGTCGTTGCAGGGGCTGTTGAAGCTCACAAATTCTTGCACTGGGCTGGCGAAGGCATGTAACGGGCTAGCAAAGTCCTGGCCAGGGCTAGTAAACGTCGTCTCCAGACTCTGAACTGATGTCCTTCCTGAAGGACTAAAGTCCTGATTCGTCAGCAGGTGCGATGAGTTGTCGCCGAAGAGTTCCTCTGGTCCTGGCGGCCACACGGCCTCCTCCAGTGTGCCCTCGACCTGCTCAATAGTCCTTGAGATGGGGGCGTCCTGGTCGACACGGTGCCCCTCTTCCTGGCTGCCGGCCAGCAGGTAGTCGATGATGCCCTGGAACGGGTGTGGAGGGTCCGCGCCTTCCTCGGGTGTCGACATGCTGCCATCCTGGTCCAGCCACGTCAGGTGGTACACGAGCTCCACGGGCCTCGCCGGCGTCCTCGACCACGGCGGCGACGCGAACGCCTCCTCGGGGGTCTCCGGGGGCGTGAGCAGGGGCGGGTCCAGGATGGGGTTGTTCTGGACGTGAACGAGGAGGCCGCCCTGGCGGAGCATGCCGGAGGCCGTAGGGAGGGCTGCGGCCGAGGCTGCGGCCGGCGGGGCTGCACCAGGCTGCACCTGTTGAGTCTGTCGCCTGCTTGCCGCGCGCCGCCCGGGCACTCGGCTACATTTCTGGCGGGCGTCGCTTTGACGGGGAAGGCCTGGCGGGGAGGGTCCGGCGGGAGCGTGCGGCCGGCGGGAGCTTGTCGTCGACACTGACGTGCCGGTGCGGTGCGCCGGTGCGGGTGCGGGCCGGGCCCGGCCGGCCGGGGACCCGGGAGGGGTTATTCATAGGCATCCCTGGAGACGCGTGTGAGTCAGACACGGCGGCCCCGGGCCGGGCCGGGCCCTCCGCTCCGCACGGGGGGCACACCAGCCCGCCTCGCCCCGCGGGCCCGCCAGCGCCAGCCCCCTCCTCGCAGCAGCACCAGCACCGGCCACCGCGCCGGCCGGCCGGGCGGACAGGCACCGGCGAGTTACGCCCGCACTCACAATTGGGCGGGGCGGGGCGCAGGCAGCCAGAGAGCGCGCGTGTCGCTCGAGCGAGTGCATAGAGGTGCAAGATACACCTGAAAGCCAGTTCAAGTCTACACGCCACTATACCAGGTGGCTGATTCACGCCGCGCACTTCTGTAGGTATACTGTACCGCATGCACGAGTGCGGGCGGGTTGCCTAATCGCTCGGCTCAGCTCGTAAGGCGCCGTGGACAGGGGCGATAGGCAAGCCCGCCCGCACTCGTGCATGCGGTACAGTATACCTACAGAAGTGCTCGGCGTGAATCAGCCACGGTATGTTGCGTCTCGAGTTTTGTTTAACAAAATTGTGAGGGAGGGGAGGGGGGAGAAACCACAACTTTAACAAAATTGTGAGGGAAGGGAGGCGGGAGAAACCACAAATTTAGATAATTTATCGAAATAGTGAAAATAAAAATTTAACATGATGAGTGAAACATTTAATCTCTAAAAGAACATTTTTCATGCGTGTGCAGGCGTGTGCACGAACGCGTGCGCGCACGCTTGTGTGTGCGTGCGCTGTCCGCGCTCTGGAGACTGGAGGATGGCTGGAGGGGGAGGTGAAGGTGAGAGACAGGGAGAGTGAGAGAGATCGCCGGCACACTGGACTGGAGGGGGAATGGCGGATGGATAAAGTTAACTACTTCTGATTTCCAGGAATCGGACCTGCCGCTCGCCCGGGAGAGTGGGTAAATCGTTGCCCCCACCCTCCCCCTTCTCCTTAACCCGCTCACTCCGGTTCCTCCCCTCCCCTCCCTCCTCTCCTCTCGTCCGTTCTTCTCCGTTCTCCTGTGTCTTTCGTTTCGTCCCGCGCTGCGTCCCGCCTTCAAATTTATCCTTCTTCTTTAGCCGGGACGTGTGATTACCCGCTGTGCCATCGTGTGTGTGTGTGTGTGTGTGCGTATGTGTGAAGGGGAAGTACAGAGTTGCATATGCATGCTGTGCAGTCGCCGGTCGCGCTCTCACTGTTCATACCACTCCCAGCCGTCCAGGAGGCCGCCCAGGCAGGCAGCCCATCCTGGACATCCTGGACTCCAGGCCTGCGTTGCTGCTGTGGCTCTCTGTACTCTCTGCAAGCCGTCTCGAGCCTAGCTTCCCAGAGCTTCGCCGAGATATCCTCGGGGCGGAGGTCCTTCTAATCAGGGATTGCAAACTAAACAGGTGTTTTTATTTTGTTCTATTCTCTAAATTTTCGATGTCCGTATCTCATAAACTTACAGCGGAAAAAAAGGTCAAAAATTAATATCTAATAGAAATCGAAGTAATTAATCCTAGTTATAATCCTAGTTATAATTTTCTTCGCGCTTTTAGCAAATACCCAACTATTTTCTCAAAAGGTGAGGTTTGCATGCCCTGCTCCTCATGGCACGGCAGCCGGGGTCGAGGCGACGGCGGGAACCCACTCCGCCTGCCCGTTACTGCAGCGCGGGGACGGCGCCGCGGCCCCGGCGGGCGCCACCCCCGGCGGGTCCATATAACACGCAGCTTCCCGGAATCACTCTCCGTCCAGTCCGGCAAAGCGATGGCCCGGCCCAA